GCGGGGAGGACGCAGTTTTCGATGGGTAGTGCTGGAGCATGGGCATAGCTGTGTGCAGAACACGAACTTGCACCCTCACTTCACTGGACGCAGAAACCCCCTCCTGATCTGTTTCAGACTGGAATGTACGGCCTAACCTGTCAAACGTCTGCAGGAGCACAGAGGAGGAACTCTTTGTGTTCTGGGGTTAGGGAAAAAAAACATGAAGCTTAAAAGAAAAAATTGATAAATTGAATTTCATTAAACTTTCTTCTTCAGAGACGCTGTTAAGAGAATAACAAGGCCAACCCTAGACTGGGAAGGGTGTTTGCAAAGTGACTCAGTCAGGAGACAGACGACTTGTAGGAAGAAGTTTGAACATGCTTCACCAAACAGCTATGTGAACTGCGACTAAGCACATTAAAAGATGCTCAGTGTTATTGGTCCTTAGGGAAATGCAAAGTAAAGCCACAGTGAACCCAACTAAATACCACACAGCCCCTCTGGGACGGCTACAGTTCAAACACTGTCAGCGCCAAGTGCTGGAGACGGTGTGGTCGCACCGGAGCTCTCACACGTTGCTGCTAAGAAGGCAACATGTTGCAGCCCTGTTAGCAACCAGTTGGCAGTTTCTTATGAAGTTAGACTTACGTACCAGCTTATCTCGCAGAGGAATGAAGATGTGTGTTCACACACAGACTTGAACCTGAGTGTTTATAGCTGCTTTATTCATAATAGCCCAAACCTGAAAGAACCCAGATGTCTTTCAACTGGTGTATGGATAAACTACTTGTGGGATATCCGTCCATTTTCAATGGAATGCAGTTCAGCAATGAAAAGGGACAAAGTACTGAGAAAAGCAACAATGTGGATGGATTTCAAGTGTTAGAGTAATAAAAGAATCCAGACACAAAAGACCCAGATTTATGATCCCATCTCAATGAAATCTGGATCAGTGGTTTCCAGGGACCAGGCTGGCGGGGGAGGGAATTTACATAGGGCGTAAGGAGACTTGGGAGGATGGGCATGTGCCGTGAGGCTGTGGTGTGGTGATACATTTGTCATTGAACGCTACACTTCAGTGATTGTTGTATGTCTAACTTACACCTTAATAAAGCTGTTTTTAAGGGGAAAAAAAGCAAACCCAAAGTACTACACTAGGGAGTGGCTGTGGCATTGACATGCTTTAGAAACTCCCCAGCTGGTTGTAACACTGCTAGGCAAAGTGATGGCAGTTTTCAGCTCTGGCAAACCAGCTCAGTTATTCCTTAAGAGAAAAGCACAATGAAAAGTTTCACTTTCTAAGACTCTCTTCTGTGAACATGTTGCAAAAGTCTGGAGAGATGTAAGAGAGGAAAGGAAGTTTGTTTTCAGGCCAAGCTCTTCCTTACTGTTTCCGGCAAAAACAAAAAAATAACCAACTCTCTTCAGCTTCCGATTGCTTTTTTGTTTGACTGTGCATGAATGTTAGGGCTGTTGCCTAATGACTCATTTTGCTCAGACCTTAGGACCCAGTTCTCCACCCTGCCTGCATGTTAGAGTCACCAAGTTTAATATGTCCACACCTCCAGACCTTTAGATCAGAATCTGTACCCGTGGGACCCAGGCATCAGCATTTTTTAAAAGTTCCTCAGATAATTCCGAGGTTGAGAACCACGGCTCTAGCAGAAGGTTTATCTTACCCCTTGAGAACTGCTTGTACTGGCCCAGTGTGGACCACGGCTATATGTATGCGTCCTGATTCGCTTTGGTAGAGAGCAGATGTTTTCAGGTATTTTTGCGTGCCTGGCATAATGCAAGACTTCTATTACAGGTGTAAGGCAGTCTCCCCAGTTTTGCAAACTAGGAAATTGAGGTTCAGAAAGAATTTATAATGCTACAGAATATAATAGAAGATATCATAATAGTTAGTAATGATAATAAAAACAGCTGCCATTTATATAGAATGTCTACCTGTAGAAGGCCCGGGACCGTATAGCGTATGCGCTTTGCCTCATTGAATATAACGGTGCTTTGAGGTGTTGGCGCTTCTATGGTTCCTGTTCCACAGTTGAGTAAAAAGCAGCAGAGGCAAGGTCCGCATGTCCTGTAAGCGGTAAGTGGGAGGGTGGGATTGAGCACGGCGTGTGGCTCCAGAACCCGCACCCTCCGCCCTTGTCCTGAGCCTGCGCTCTGGCGGACCTGGGATGAGTCCTGGCTGTACTGTTCACTTGGGTTACACTCTCCCTGGCAAACTTGGACTTCTTTGTCAGTGCCCATTTTATGCCCCTTCCTTCCATCAAGCCATCTGTTCCCGTCGTCTTCCAGCTCGATGAGATAACTTTGTGGAGAAGCGTAAACAGGGTAGGTAACTTATCAGATAACAGTTCTGTTCTCGCAAGACTGTGACCGTCCCTTGTTCATCTGGCGTCTCTGAAAATCAGCATGGATGCTCCATTAGTGATTGTCGGGAAACAGATGGTGCCACTGGTTCTCTCTGGGGCTTCCAGAAAGCTGCTCGGAGGACATGGCGCTTGTGGTTTGCCGTGAAGGACGAGTAGGCGTTTCCCAGGCAGAGGAGGGGATGGGAAGGGCCGTGAGGCGGAGGGCATCCTTGGGGTGCAGGGGAGACTGAGGCGGGGAAGTGAGTCGTAACTAGTGGCGGGAGGCTTTGACTGCCAGGCTCTGAGGCGTTGGAATTTTTTCTTTAAATCTGGTGGTAGAGGGAAAGTGTGGAAGGTTTTAAGCAGGTTAGTGATGAGTTCCCACATGCTGATGTTTTACCTTTTTGTAAGAGCCCTGATGGTGGTGCAGAGTGCGTTAGAGAGGGAGGAAAAGCAGAGCTGGAAGGACCAGGTTGGAGCCCTAAGCGAGAGGCAGGGACGGCAGCTGGGGCGGTGGGGCGGAAGCCTGGTTCCGACAGACAAGCAGAGGCAAGCAGAAGTGTTTGTCCTGTGGCGCTGTCACTCCATTCTTTTAACTCCTTCAGAGTTATTTGCCAGATATCAATGTTCTGTCTTTAAAAATAATGTTTTATGATGTGTCAGCTGACAACTCTGTTAAAGTCTTTCTTAAATTTTGTTAAAAGCAGCGTAATGGGGGCCACGTAACTTGCAGAAAGTTGTGGGATTATCAGTGGAGTGACTCTCAGCAGCAGCCCGTGTTTGACTTGTCCCTTTGGCCCCTGGAGGCGTTGGCACTTGGAGATGGTGCCGCTCTGTGCTCCTCTGGAGGAGGAGGGGAGCGGGACTGGAACTCCTCACACGGGCGGCGTCGGCTCGGGCTGCTCAGCTTTAGGAAGCAGTATTTCTCAAAGCGGAGAATCGGGACAGGGCGTCCGCAGGATGCCTGTCACTCACACTGCCAGCAGCGCCTTCCGGCGCCCCAGGGATGTGTGTTCCGCTTACAGACTGCCGCACTGGCTGGCGCGGTGACTGTGCGATGGAGAAGGGTTTGGATTTGAGCAATTTAGGAGGTAGAATTAGCAGGACTTGCGGATATTCTCCTCAGAATTACTTTTCAATGAGTTTGCATTTCTGTAAGCATCAAGAGTATTAACTCAAGGGGCTGGCCCCGTGCCCCAGTGGTTGAGTTCGTGTGCTCTGCTTGGGCGGCCCAGGGTTTCACCAGTTCGGATCCTGGGCACGGACATGGCACCGCTCATCAGGCCATGCTGAGGTGGCATCCCACATGCCACAAGTAGAAGGACTTACAACTAAACATATACACAACTATGTACTGGGGGGATTTGGGGAGAAAAAGCAGAAAAAAAAAGATTGGCAACAGTTGCTAGCTGAGGTGCCAGTCTTTAAAAAAAAAAAAAATTAAAAAGAAAGTAAAAAATATTAGGTTGACTAGAAATACTAAATACATATCTTGTATTCTCTTAGATTTCGAGTTAAACTTGTATGTCATTTAAGTATATTTGCGTTTAGGTGTTTGGTTACATCTTGAGAAGTACACACTAAACTCTTCTAGGCGTCTCAAGTATTTCCTGGCATCCTTAACAGATTGCTGTAATGGCAAACAGTCAGCGTTTGAGAAAGCCATTTAATTTTTACTAAAGCAGGCCAGAAACACAAAGTAACTGGGGCAAGTTGCACCACATCAACAGTGCCTCTTTTAGTTTCTGTTTCTTATTTATTTAACGTGAGGATTAAGGTTGCATGAGAAGCTAATGGTCAGTATATGCTTCTCAGATGATGGGCAGATGGAGCTTCGCTCATGAGGTTCTGAGTGGAGAGGTAAAGGCGGGGGGGGGGGGCTTTGATAAACGAGGTCAGTCTTCAAGTGGGTTTGAGCAAGTTGGAGTATCCCAGTTTAACGAAACTGTTGAGGGAGATGCAATACTTAGGGACCAGAGACTGTCCCGCTGTCGTCGAAAGGCCCCAGTTACCAAATGATTTAAACAGCAAAACTCACAGGAGAGCTCATGGGTCTCTTAATGGGATTTCTAGCACTCGTGGTCTGTTAGTGTGGATATGTTAAATCAGTGGCATAAGGCAGCGTGTGTTTTAAAAGAGTATCTCTAGCAGATTCCTATTGTTCACACATGTGACTTGTGGGAGTGCGACCACTGCGCTACTCACTGCAGGGTGCAGGCTCTGGAAGGTGTTGGAAAGAAGGCATCAACTGTTCTTCCGTCCGTCTGTCTCACTTGCCTCCTCTCAGGCTGCCTCTCACGGCACCGCTGGAATTCTCGTGCTTAAAGATGTGTGTTACGCAACATGGCACGTCAGCACAAGTGCCACTGGAGAAATAGCCATCTTTGCCAGTTTGGGATTGTCTCTCTCTCCAGTGAGGCACTTTCCCATAGGCTGGTGAAGGGTAAGTTTGACGAAATGTGATTTTTTGCCATGTACACTGTTTTGAACCCAACCTCCCCAAGGTGAGATTCCACTGTAAACTGTTCTGATCTGTGTTTAGAAAGTCACCACATCTGAAGTGCTCAGGCGCTGGGAGAGGATGGATGTTCATTTATTTGGTTCTATCTTTCTAGAAATGTTACTCTTCTCTTTCATATCCTATTTTTTTCCCTCTAGTTGTGGCAATTTATGATTATACAAAAGACAAGGAAGATGAGCTGTCCTTTCAGGAAGGAGCCATTATTTATGTCATCAAGAAGAATGACGATGGTTGGTATGAGGGAGTTATGAACGGAGTGACCGGGCTCTTTCCTGGGAATTACGTGGAGTCCATCATGCATTATTCTGAGTAGAGCTCAGCAGGGCTGGGGCCCTCCCAGGAGCTGGCAGGCTGCCCAGATTATCAGAAGGCCCTGGGGAGTCCCCTCCAGTGAAATGAAGGAATGATACAAATGACAAAAACTGCTTACATTTTTTTGGTTTATCCCCCAGTATTCAAACAAAAAAGCGAGCTGAGTCTGAACAAATGGATCTTTCTGCCATCACTTGTACTGTGTTGAGCTGTTTGGATTGAAATAAAGTGACCATTTCTAAATACGTCAGAGGTATAACAGCGTAACGATGTGAAACAAATCAGGTTAAGACTGATTCAGAAAACATCTGGGATGTCTCTCAGGAATACTGTGTGCCCTTGGGGCCCCTCCTCCTGCGGCCCGCGGCCGGGGTGTTCTTCGGTGCCTGTGCCGACGGCAGCCCCGTGGCCCTGTGCGCCGTCCACACTTCTTCCCCTGTGTGAGGAGGAGGGAACCAGTATTTACATACCACATGTAACCATTTTTATAATTGTTTCAGCTGGCTTATTTCCTCTTTAGCACTGTACATTCTGCGTTCTCCCAGCACTAGAGTGCGCCAAGGAGCTAAGGCTGACGTGACTTGCAGCCCTTCCCGTCTCTCAGTCTGTAGCTGATGAGGATGTGAATGAGTCTCCACACATTCGGAGGGTGGTGAATGGCCGCAGCTCCAGCTCAGTGTGCTGCTGCTGCTGCTGCCACCGCCGCTGCTGCTGCTGCCGCGTGAGGCTGCACTGCCGCCGCCGCCCAGCGCGCAGACGTGCGTGTCGTCCTGGTTCCCGGGTGGATGTGGCCGCAGAGCCCGCTGTGAAGGTGCCTGAGGTCTGAGGACTTGGCCCTCGTGAGCAGAGCCACCGCCCAGTAGGCATCCTAGACCCTTGCTTAGGCGCGGTTTTGAGGAATAAGATTTTGGAGGTCAGACCAATTATTTCTTTACTTCTTTCAGTATTTAGAAAAAGATTATTGTTTTTTGGAAAATAGTTATTTTCAAGTCTCTCAACAGTCATTGAAATAAAAGACTTGCTGCTGTCTCTGAATGCCCCTAATGGCCGGTGTGAGCTGCTGCCGAGTTGTTTACTTACTAGGTTTTAGAGAAGGTAAATGCTCTCCTGATGGTGTGTGATGGGCGTTTGAAGTAGCTGCTTTTGGTAGGAATTTGAATGTTCTATCTCAGACTAAGAATTGTGGGGTAAGTGGCATCAGGCTAAATACTTATTCAGTCAGAAAGATAAAAATTAGTGTAACTGAGAGAAATGAACTATTTTTTTTCATCTGCACAATTACACCTTCAAATTCTGTGGTGGCTGTAAGGCGGAGGCCTTGATCCTCGCTGCCATCAGCGTATGAAACGCTGAAAGACCCGGGAGGGCTTGCTGTTCCGCCAGTCAGGCCCAGGCGCGTGGCCCGAAGAGAGCATGGCCAGTGCCTGGCCCGAGCTGCATGCAAGTATGTCACACGGGGGCCTGCAGTGTGATGGATGGTGCAGACAGAGGGACGCGGCTGAAAGGTGGCCGCATTAGTGTGGTAGTGCGTGAGGGGTGCAGATGGTGGAGGCGGCAGTCATTGTCCACTGGCGAGTCTGTTCTGTGAGCAAAAACCATCACCATTTAACTGCGACCTAGATACAGAGTTCCCTTCTTAAGAATTTTTTTTTCAGTTGCAGGGTTTTTCCCCGACACATTGCAAGTTAGCTATTGTGCTTTTAGATTTCTTCAACATTTTGAATTTGGATTTCATTACCTTGCCTCCAGTACACATTCCAGTTCATGCTTTTGTTAGGTCGTCTCAACATCCTGTATTCCCTGTTTTCCTTCAAAGTAATGGCCCTCTGCACCTTTAGCTTCATTATATTCTAGCAGCCAACCTAGACTTAGCCAGATGGAGTAAGCTCTTCCTAGTGTTGCTGTATAACTAGGAAAACTGTTTTGAAATTAGATGTTCCAATTATTTATTTAGAAAGCTTTTTGCTGAGAAAGCTTAGTGGATTAGTAAGGCAGAGGGTATTGTGAAATGCAACACATCGTTCCCGCAGCTCACACCTACAGCAGCAGAGAAGATGACTGTGCAAAGCGTCGGTGGTGTTCTGCTCGCCTCCTGGAGCCCTGCTGGACTGGGGAGTGCGGAAGGCCCCGGCAAAGCCCGTCCCGAAGACCTGCAGCAGGGGATCCAGGAGTCAGCTGGTTTTTTCTCTATTATTTAATACTAATGTGTGTGTGAGTTTTTGTTTTAAAAACACCACCTGTTGAGTTTTCTGCATATTTTAAATTTTTGTACAGTTCTGAATTCTATATATCGTCTTGGAAGGATGCTGTGTAGTGATGATGGGCCAGGCCCACGGTCATTGGAGACTTTGAATGGATGTAATATTTCACAGATTGCATGCTATTAATAGTCTGAGGGTAGTATTTTTTCTTTTATCGTAAGTTTTCCCCATTTCTCTTTTTACAAACTGCAAGATGGTTGGTAGGAGGAATTCCACTGATGCATGTAAGTCTTCCGTGCTGCATAATATTATGGCAGAGGTGATCCAAGTCTGAAATCTGCTGACCAGTAAGCAGCCATTTTATCAGGAGAGAGGGAATCTGGTGGAAGAGGGGATTTTTTTCCCCTCATGTGTTTCTTTTTGACTTGTGTGCCCATCCCCTTTTTCTAAGGAAAAAGGAGTGACTTAAGAATTGTTCCCTTTTTTTGGTGTTACTCTTTGAAAGGCCTTGGGGGTAAGAATGAAAATACACTTTCTTGTTGTCGTCGACCTTATGGTCATAAGGCCACTGCAGTAAATTGAAAACCAAAATAGTGTTAATGTGTCAAAATCTAGACCTGAGTGATTCAGCCTGCTGTGTTTAGAATAAGGATGAATCTTTTCAGATGTCTTGTCCAGTATTTTCCATCTTTTGGCTCCTTGCTTTCTCTCTCCCTCAGGGGCACCCCGCTGTTCCCATCCTGGGGGGTGAGGGCCTGCTGCTTTGGCCGGGTCCCTAGTCACTGGGGAGGCGTTTTCTTCTCCCTCCTGCTGCTGTTTATTACCCAGCTAGAGGATGTCTTATGCACCCTCACCGTGATGTCTGTAATGTCGCTGTGCTCCTTAGCAGCCTCACGTTGATTACAGATGATTACTGAAGACTTTCCTGTTGGAGAGGCATCAAAATGCTGGCGGTTTGCTTTTATCCTTTAGTGCTCCTTTTCTGGTAGCCAGGGACCTTTCTGCAGTAGGAAGTGTTCTCTTTGTTACCGTTTCTCCTTTGCGGAGAGAGCATGGCATGTCCTGAAGGCCGCTTTTCCCTTTAGAAGGGCTCGATGGAGGAGCTGACGGGGGACTGCAAAGTCTTCGAAAGGAATGGGGATCTGAGCCGCTTCGCACCCATTCACTCCTGGGCCTCGTTGGCCGGGAGCTCCTGACTGGTGTTAAGGTGGTGATTCCCCTCCCGGGATTTCCACACGGAATTTCCGAGCTAGGTGTTAGATTTTAGAAATGTCAGTTCAGTCTCATTTTGCTGATGAGGTTAGATGTTTCGTTTCAGGGAACAGCTGGTTAATAACGTTGAGTTCCTGGCTTAACGCCCGGCACTCTGGCCGCAGCGGTCTTTATTGAATGTGCTGTACGTGTCTCGAAGAGTTTATAGAGTTCTACTTGATGTCTTCAGGAAGATCCTTGAGGAGCCCCGAGCACTCAGACTGCTCTTAAAGGCACGTGCTGAGCGCCACCTGCGTTAGTGAACGTCTCCCCTGAGCCCCTCAGCAGCCACGCTCGCTAGAGACAGTCTCTCTGTGGGTGTGTCATCTCAGCGCTGGCGGAGCCCGCACACAGACAGCCTCGTCCCGGATCCTCAGCCCAGGGTCGTGCGCACTCCTTACGTTTCCTTCATGCTGACCTTCATTCCTGTTTCTTACTGAGAATCTCATAATTCTTTAAAAAATTGACAAATGAAACGACAGGGCCTAGCTGTGTATAGATGATCCTTGCTAAAAATCTTAAGGATTTTGTAAAAAAAAACAAAAAAAACAAAAAGCTTATTTTCACATTAAAATGGAAATGTCTTTTTGCAACTTCAGAATTCTATGGAAAAGCAGTTTTTATCATATTTTGTGTCCATGCATCTTTTTTCTCAACAAAATGGTTTACAAAAAGGAATGTAAACAGTTTGTGATCTGGCCAGTTGTACTCTGAGCTCCCAGAGGGAGGTGTGCTAGCTGAGTGAAAACCACGCAGGAAGCCTCGGGGGGAGCAGTCTGTTGCCAGTAACGTCTCGTGTGCCATGAAACCACCTCCAGATGAGCGGGGACATTCACTTTTTAATTTTGAAATTGTATTTGGAATTAATTGTTGCTGTGTACTAAGAACCTGACCTAAATAAAACCCTGCAGAGCACACCCGAGTGTCCCGTGAACGTGTTCATGCGAGTCATGCGAGTCACCTCTCTCCTCAGCCCCTCCCCACGGCCCCTCCCAGGAGCTGCTTTGATGAGTCGAGTCTCAGCAACGTCACATTTCTGTGAGGTTTTTTCCTCAAGACAGCTGCTCTAAATAATTATTTTCTACCCTTCTATTTGCTGTAAATGAACCTGAGGTTTTCTGATCACTTCCTCTGAAATACATACGTTCTGATATGTGAAAGGAGAGCTGCTGTCCTGTGCTCCAGCTTGGTAAGTCCTGGCGCAGTTCGTGAAGACCCCCGTGGCATGGCAGTCCAGCACAGATCCCTGCTGGTACTGGTTGGTAGGTAGTTGTACTTTGTTTAAAGAAAAAAATCTTAAAAGTTACTATCACTTCTTAATTGCTAATGTATTTAATAACCAAAGCTCGCTAGTCTGTTGGTATGAACTGTTCATGACGGAAAGTTGAACCACCGAACACATCCCCCTGTAGCGTTTTTACCTTCACAGTGTGTTCTTACTGCACAGCCCGTTTTGGGTCCCCCAATGTCAACAGAAAAGCCAGGTCCTCAGTGGTGCCGACCCACAACAGCGAGTCCAGTCCCCAGGCTTAAGTGAAATGCATGTATTCTTTTTATTAAGGATTGGGTAAGCTGACATAATGAAAATCGTAACGGAAAAACAAGTTTACACTGACTTGTGTGACTACTGTCCTAAGCCATTACAATAGTTCACTGACAGGAACTGGCAAGAGTAACTCGGAAAATAACTTAATCCAGCAGTAAAACAAAAACCTCGTCAGTAGTACTGAATATATCTCTCTCATATATATCTCTATATAGATAGGTTTGCACAATCAGGGAGCAAGGCACGTCATGAAATGAGAGCACACACTGAAGCCGAAGAACAGAACAGAGAGCGCGGACAGAAACATGGGCACTTCATCTTTCCCGAGCGAGCTGTGCATAATCATTTGGACAGTGTCCTCCACTGGGTACTTTATCACGCACTTCCTTTTGCCGCCTTTTTCATGCTTTAAAAAGTATATTCCTACATTGTGTCTATTTAGGGCAAAGCTCCCACAGCCTAGATGTCAGTGTGAGCCTTGACTCCATTTTTTAAAGGGAAGAAAGGGAGCAATCCCAGTTCAATATAATATGCAATTTTTCTTTAAAACAGAAAACAATGTTTTTACATTTAGCACAAGCTAATGATATTTTAAATGTACATTTCTATAAAAGGAGTTCACTAGTGGCTGAGAATAAAATTAAGCAAAATCGTGTGAAACATTCCAGTTAATGCTTATTTTCTAGGAGGAATTATTTACAGGTAGAGACAAAAAATATAGGAGGTGGGAATCATGGAAAATGGCAGTTTTTGGTATTAGGTTACAATAAACTGAAACAATGGACAGCTCCCAAATGCTAAGATTCTCTAAGTGCTGCTCACATGTTCCGCCTAGGAAGAGGGTGAGGCTTCCAGTGACAAGCTTGGTGTTCGCACGCTCACTGGTGAACTTAGCCATCTTCTAAACACACAGCCGTCGCCATCACCCCGACTCGCTTCTTGAAATGTCTTTGGTAGAAAACGGCCAGACCCCGTGTAGGCAGATGAAGCCATCTCGCTTGGGACAGTCCTACGTCCTGTTTCTGCACAAACAGAAATACTCACCACCTTCTTGCGTTAGCACCTCAAATTTTGGTTGTTGGATTTGTTTTATGCTGTTCCTCCAAAAGAGTTCAAGGCACTGGGGATTAGAGCAGACACTGTTTTCTCTAAAGGGTTTATGACTTCAACAAGCAAAGAGCAAACCAATTGGAGATTTTTTCCCTTCAAGTATTTATCAAGTATATTGTTTTGCTTATTTTTATTCAGCAAGTTTATCCTACAGCTAAGTTTCAGATTTCCTTTTACATATAGACCTTCCGAGGGTACAATTAAGAACTGAGCACTTTTTTAGTTTGAGAGACAGACTGGTAAAGGTATAGAAATGTTCTTCTATTGGGTTTTTAAAGGAAAATCTTAAAAGCTAGTGGGATCTTTAGTTCTGTTCCACTTGCATCTCTGTGCTCACGTTCCTACAAGGTCAGGGATCAGCGGCTTTAGGCAAATGATATGTGAAGTGTATAAAACAAAACTCAAATTGCCAAAAGGTACTTGAAACCTAAAGTGATTTTTAGAAATAGACATCCTCTCATCAGTGTTTAAAACCAAATTATTATACCTATTTTATTTAAAGCACGTCATTATACCTGTAATCATACAGGCTCATACAGGTTTAATTGGTCTAAACTTGAATAAAATCGGTGAAATTACATCAGTTATAATTTGTTAGCTCTCAAGGTATGTGAAAGTTTGATATAATCTATAAAACTAGGAAAGAGTTTCTTGCTTTTTAAAAATCACCTCGTGTTTGTAATAAAGTTGCTTTCAGCTGAGGAATAAAGGTGACAGAGGTTTGGCTGGGGACCTGATAGCTAAATCAGTCCGCACCATTACCTGAAGGTTTTTCAGGCTACTTTATAACCTGGCCGCCTTCACACACGCTTCGTAGCAGTTGTGTTCTTCCCGAATAGCTGCTCCTGAAACTAACTGGATGTCAGAGTTGTCACTCCGATCTAATGATGATTCACCATCCTTCAGTGCTGTTTAGATGAACGTTCTTAATAAACTCGGCACTGGCTTCAGTGGCAAGTCAACTTAATTACACCAGGAAGGGACTTCCAAGATGGTTAGAGCAGCGGCAGGCTGGGCAGCGTGGCCGGAGCACCTTGTTGGGGGCTGGAGGACACCATTGTGTCTATACTACTTGGTTTGAAATTTTCTGATGAAAATCGTTTCTTGTAACTTTTCTTAGGAGTTAGCTATTTTTCTCATTTTAAAAAGTTCCAGAAATTAAAAAAAAACCAATTTACAGTTAAGTGGGTATCTGTAAAAACCTTAAGAATACTTTTTCCAAGTCAGCATTACAGCAGCTAAAGAAAACGATGTATTTGAGTAGTCAAGGCAAGCTGTTGACGTTTCCATCACCACCAGTGAGCCTGCTGTCAGTTGTTTATTAACAGAATAGGCTCTGCTGCCCTTCGGAGTTGGTGCCAAAGCTTTCAGCATAGGGTGACCGATTTTGAAATCATCCAAGTTAATTATTACAGTTGAGGGTGTCACGCGCTCAGGCAGGCACGTGTGTGCACGGCCTTAAGAGCAGGACGCGTCCATCCTGCATTTGCCTTTCGGTGCAGACACATCAGCTGTGGCTCTTCCCCTTTGACCTGAAGCAGCTGTGTTGGGTGAGCTGCTGAGCAGAAGGCAGTGACAGAAGGCACAGTCCTAGTGTCATGTGGCAGCAGGTGTTTCCATGAACACTAGAGGAAGAGAACAGCTACACAACTAATAGCAGCCTCAAAAGCCCCACAAAACCACAGCCCAACACAAATTCTAATTTAAAAAAACCCCACTAGGGAGTAGAACACTAGAAGTAAAATCTAAAATATCATTTTGGAGTTTGATTCACTTGTTTCAGACATAAAGGAAAAAAACTAATAGTCTTTTCCGTCTTTGGAGAAATGGAAAGGGAAACAGCCTGTCGTCAGGCCAGCTGCCAGACGGGGTGACCGTTACGCGGGTCCTCCGGCCCTGCTGTCTTCTCGGGGTGCCTAGTTCTGAAGGACGGCTGCTCTTTCAGGAGAATGAGACTCTCGAAGCGTCGGTGCAGGATGGCCATCATCAGGACTGACCAAAGCAAGAAGTCCCGGGAAATCCCACGCCGAAAACCCAGAGGCTGTAACTCAGGGCTCAAGTGACGGGCACAGGAGGATGGAGGGCGCACAGTTCCTTTCCCTCAAGGAGAGCTGAAGTTGTCCACCTTCATACAGAAAAAGACCACTACCACCACAACAGAAAACCCTAGTGATGTATATTTATCTCATTGGATTCACAGTCTTAATAATTCTTCACCCCACAAGTGAGGGCGCTCCTTAGAATATAAAGCTGCAGGCAGAAGACTACGGGGAAGTCCTTCACTCCTGAGCCACAGTGGAGCTGGCCGTCTGGACCCAAACGTGACTCAAACGTTACCCACACTGCTGTGCAGGCCTAAACAATACAGAGGTGTTAAAGGTCACTTCATAAGCTTAAGAATATCAAGCACAGAAAACTTTGTGAACAATTGAAAGATCCAAAAAGTATTTTTTAAAGAAGCAGGGCTTTAAAAAATGCACAATGGTATATATTCTTATTGCTCCATAAGCACATGAATAACTGAACGACGTCCTGGAGACGTGGCGGGGAGGGGTGCACTGTCCGCTCTGAGGCTGACCTTCCTAGAGAGTGGGCTGCAGGGGTGGCTGTGTACACAGTACAGCTGCCACGTAGTCTTGAATGAGTGACTATCTGCCTCACCGTACTGCCGTCACTTGTTCCTTGTTCACAACAGGCACAGACTTCCTTACAAGACGTCCTCATTTACCATTGCTGGGATGGCTAGGTCTGACATTGCATTTTATTCCTAATGGTCAGTTTATCATCATAAATTGATGAGACATACACATGTCTCTCATATACCAAGGAAAATTCACAGGAAAAAAAACCACATAGGAGGATAATGTGAAGCATACCGAATTACAGTGTCATTAGAGCATGATTCCATGTTGTACCAACTTGCACGTGCATGTTATGTCACTCGCTGTGCTTGGACTAGACTACTCCATGAGAACAGCTGCTCACCTGGACAGACCTCCACGACAGGCTGCAACAAGCAAGGGTCCTCGTGTGCTCCAGCAGCTACGGATGAAACCGTCCCAAACCTCCTTTGTTCTTCCTCCTCCATGAGAGTCCCATACTTAAATAAACTCTCTGTATTACACATTACAGTCCACATCCAACCTGATTAACGACACCTGTACGGGTGCCAGTTCTGTTCTCTTTTCTCATCACCCACCCTTCTGGAGAGCAATACACAAAGATGCATTCGAGAAGGGGATTTTGTTTTCCGTAATGATGCACCGTGTCGGACACAGGCTGTGTCTATTTGAGAGAGCAGTTGTCTGCAGATACCTAAAAACATCTACCCAGAGCACACTCTGTAAGAGGGGAACTGGTGAGCCAAAGACACACCGGGACTAGAGCATCCCGGGGCATCCTGTCGGATATTCTTACAATAAAGCAACTCCAGGACTGTGACACCACGCTTGATGAAGCTTCACGAAGCTCTCGGAAAGGATAAAAGCGCTGTTCAGGATCCCAGCACTCGGAGCCACGCATGGTGGGCAGACCTCACCCGTGACGGAGCGCCTCCCAGATCCGGGCGGTGTCGTTAGTTACCCCATGGAGTCACTTTCTGTGACAGCCTGCACAGAGTGCCTGCGGGCGCCCCCCGCCCCGCATCATTTACCCGTTCTACGAAGCTGAGACTCGCCTGATTTAAAGTGCCCTTTATGAACAGTCACCAAGTGTTAGTTAAGCAGTTCTAACTTCAGCTAACGGGAGAGAAAACCAACAGAAACCCCACAGATACACCATTCTGGTTGTCTTCTCAAACTGAGAAACAGCACATTATACATCTATTCCTTAATATATAATACACAACATGCACAGATAGGCCGCACATGGACACTTATAAAATACCTTCTAAATAAGTCATTAAAAGTTTTTGGTCCAATCCACATGACCGATAACAGAAATCATAAGGGACAGGACACACACCTCCTTCCATGCCTCTTCCACCCAAAATACACGAGACCCATTTTCAGATTAGGAGCGAAAAGGAATAAATAGAATCACTCACAGCTATATATATACATATACACATCCATATATGTATACATATATATACATATACACACACACTATCTACCTATGTATAGCGGTGTGCACACGCACGCACACACCGCCGGACACTTCCTGAACGACAGCATCATCCCAGGAGGCTGTGAACACGGGAGCTGAGCGCCGATCGATCGGGTGAGCCGACCGGGACTGACAGATAGCTTGGCAGCGGCCGCCAGGCGGCTACCAGTCCCTGGAGAGCTTGGTGCTCTGGTCTCTCTTGGGCGGCGCGGGCGGCGGCCCTCTCCGCAGCGTGGCGTAGCCCGCTAGGTGGCCGCCGCCGTAGGCAGCCTTCTGCGGCTCGGACAGCAGCTCCGGGGGCGGCGGCGGCAGCGCCATGTCGTCCATGGTGGCCGTGGGCTCGGGCCTGGCGGCGCGCGCGGAGGACAGGGAACCGTGCCGCGTGACGGACTTGCGCTGCAGGGTCCGGCTGAGGTCGGCCAGGAAGGCGGGCCGCACGCCGAGGCCGGCCTTGGGGGAGCCGGGCGAGGTGGGCGCGGCGGGCTCGGCGCGAGTGAGGCGGGTGCTGTCGTTGCGCTTGGGCCGCGTGGGCGGGGGCGCCTTCCTCGCGGCCGCCTTGGCCCACGGCTGCGGCTGCGGCTGCGGCGGGACGACCGCCACCCTGGGCGAGGCGCTGCCGGGGAAGGCGGCCGGCACGTCGGCGGGGGGCGGGGGCAGCTCGCCCTCGGGCGGCGGCGGCGGGAAGTCGGCCTCGGGGGGCGGGGAGGGGAACTCCGCCCCGGGGTCCCGCCCGCGCCCGCTCGGCAGGGGCGCCGCCGCCGCCGGCCCCTGCGGGAGGGTCCCGGGCAGGGGGCCGCCGGGCAGGTGGAGCTTCCCCGGCTTGGGGGGCGCGGCCGGGGGCGGCGGGGGCTCTCTGCCGGGAGACCCCGAGGGCTCTGCAGGCGGCGCGAACCTGCTGACCAGACTGTCCACCGAGGGCCTCCTGGGCTCGGGCTGCTCCGCGCAGCCGCTCGACTTGATGCTGGAGTTGCGCTGCGGCGTCGGGGGCGGCTTCTTGGCCCCCGGGCTGCCCGTCTTGCCGGGCTTTCTGCCTGGGGACCCGCTCTTGTCCTTGTCCGGGGCGGGCGAAGCTGCGGGCGGCGGCGGGGGCGGGGCCGGGGCCGGGGCCGGGGGAGGAGGGGGAGGGAACACCAGGCTGCTCTCGGGAGGAGGGGGCGGGAAGTCCGGGGACGGGACAGGCACCGCGCCGGGCTGCCACTTGGGTTTGGCTTTCACAGCAGGAGGGGACTGCGGGGCTGCACTGGCGGAGGTGGGCTTCGGGGCCGGCGGCTCCCCCGGAGGCGGGGTGGGAGGGGGCGGGAACTGGCTGGCGATCTGCTTCACGACCGAGGGCCCCGGGGACAGCGGGGAGGGAGGCGGTTTTGCACAGAAGCTCTGCTGCTTGGGCAGCGTGGGTGGGGGGACTGGACTAGGAGGGGCGGGGGGAGAGGGCGGCACGTGGGAAACAGGAAAAACGGGCTGCTTTTTTGCTGGGGGCACTGGAGGAGTAGGTGTGGGTGGCACAGCTTGTGTCGCAGAGGGTGGCACAGGCTTGGTGCTGGTTGGTGGGGGCACGGTCACAAGGGGTTTGGGGGGAGCCTGGGGAGGGAGGGGTGCAGGAATGGGAGGTGGTGGCGGGGGTGTCGGAGGAGCCGCTGGAGTACCGTGCTGAAGGTGATGAATCTTCAGGGGCGGGGCGGGGGCGCAGGGCGCGGGTCTCAGCTGGGCCATGGCCGAGCCAGGCGTGGGGGGCGGGGCGGGGGTGGGGGCGGGGCACCACACCGCTGGGGGGCACCAGGATCTGAGGCTTTCCCGACTGTGCGGTGGAGGCCGGGGGCGGCTTAAACAGGGGCCCCGGATGCTGAGCCGCGTTCTGCAGCCTGGTTATCGTGCTGTACTTGACAAACACTGGAGCCGCTGAGCTGGCCGACGGTGCCGACTGGCTGGGCAGCGGCGGGGGCGGTGGGGGAGGCGGGGGTGGGGGTGGGGGCGGTGGAGGGGGCGGGGGCGGGAGAGGCGGCGAAGGCTGGGAAGCAGTGTAGGGGGTGACCAGCTTAGGCTGTGGGGACAAAGGGGGCATCAGTGAAGTGTAGGGCCTATTCATGGACTCCATTCTGGCCTAAAAGGAGCACAGAAGGGGTGGGAGAGAGAGAACAACAGACAGTTACAGAGGCGCTCTAACTGTAAAGCTAGAAAGCAAGTCTCAGCGACAGGTGAAGGGATGCAGCAGCTGTGATAATCAAGACTGACAATGTCAGGAGGGCTACAATCTGACCCGGGGGCAACAGGGGCATGGAGCCCATGCATCTACCCACAATATTCTCAGATAGCCAGACTGCCGGATAGCCTAGGTTTGAAAAAGCGTTGCAAAAGCTGCTTGAATGGTGACTCCTGGTCTGATTTCTGACCTCTGGTGTCCCACACCTGCCCAAGTGGGAGGGCTTCTGGGCCCTGGGCACCCCCCGGCCCAGGAGGGAGATGTGAGGGCTCCAGTGCACCCTTCAGTCCCCAGCGGCTCCCACAGCAAGCAGAGCCACCCTGGCGCAGGAGTGCTGTGGGAGGGCCTCGCAGGAACAAGGGTGGCTTTGATACTAGTAAGCTGACACGTGAACAGGCGTGCACAGTCACACAGGAATGAATGAGCGTGACACACACACTTGCATCCAACATGCACAGAAGTCCAGCAATGCAGGTAAAGGGGGCATTCTTTATACTTGTTTTACTGGAAAATACATAAAGAGATGCTTCATAAACATTACAGCAAAAGATCATAAAAGTATCACACAGAAAATGTCAGAAGAAAATGAGAGGAAACTTGGGAAGACTAAAGAAAATGTATCAAGGAACAGGAGCTAGAGTTTGTCCACCCCTGCTGACCAGCCTATGTGGGCACTGCTTGGCATCGCCCAAATTACCACATCTGGTCATTTATGTCATGGAGCTGTTCATGCATGAATGTGGCTCAAGTACTTTTGAAAGAGCAAAGGAAGGACCCTTGGTTTAGTAACTTTGGGTACATCTTTTTGGCTCTTTGAACAAACTGTAAGGATCCAAGATAAACCATTTGTTTCCAACTATGAATGACATCTAATTAGCATGGAGAATGCTTAGGTTAGTAGACTAGATGGCTCATTACAGGGCTGAATTCTAATGCCCATCAGGACAGTCACATGTTTCTTTAGAAATTCCACATCAAAGTCAAAGCATTAGTCTGCAAGATCTGGTTACAGGAGTCACCCAGGTTAATGTGCTTCCAAAGAACAGCCCCTGACCTTAACTTGCCCCTGTCTTGGCTGCTGCAGGGGATTGGACCTTAGCTGTGCTGGCCTTCTCATCTGGCACCTGAGACAGGTAACAGGAGAAGAAACACACAGGAGGATCAAGACTCCAACACATCGTCCCTGCTGCGTGGGGGGCCCATGCGCTTTCTGAAACTGTGGGGAAGGACGGACTCGGCTGCTCAATCCCAGAGCATCTGGACCTTAGCCGCCCTCCTAACGACCGGGTAGTTCCCTAACTTAGAATTCACACGGATAACACCATTAGAAATTCAGTAAGGCAAAGGACTCTGCTTTAGATGTCTGAACTGTGGAAACCTGCTTCTCCATGACATCCACAGAGGACTGGCACCGGGGGTGCTGCTCTGTCCAAGTGGATTAAGTGGGGAAAGGGAGGGAGATGTCTCAGAAGTCTGAGCTTCTGAAGGGAGTTAAACAAACTGTCGTGTCTTGAGAATTTAGGTCATTAGAACCAATTCTCAAATACTTATTTCTAAAAAAAAGTGTTCCATCCCTACAGTGGGCTGCTAATGCCTCCTCCACCCGCCCCCCCCCACACCCCTCCCCAAGGGCCAGTTAACCAGCCCCATATGCAAATAAAGGAATAACCAGAGGGAAATGGCCATTGAATTCTCCCGCTGAGTGTACTTGCATAAGTGATGCAGACCAAAAGAACAGAAAAAATCAAAATGATCATTAATGAAATGGTCAGGCCAGGTGTGCCACTGGTCCCTCAGTGGTGGCTGAGGGTGAACTGTCGAAGACGCAGCCTTGCCCACAGAACTTCAGAGGTTAATTTGATAGGTGCCCTTCAACCACAGTAAAGAAACCTCTCTATTTTTCTAAACAGTTCTGCAATAATTATACTCGTCCTTCAGTATCACTGAACAATCTACTATGCAAGGCTCAGGGATCCAAAATTTTAAGGAGATTAATTTGAATTTAGTCTTCCAAATAAACCGTAATTTGAGAAAATTCATCAAAGTGCAGAGAAATGCCAAAAAGCATAAAAAGAAAGGAATGAGTCTGAATAAGTGAAATTAATAACAAAGAAATAATCAACCATTAGCAGGTTCTCTGGAACAAAATTGGGCACCAGCACTAAATGGTGTTGCTCCATCCAAATTGATTAAGGGTGGAAAGGAGGAAATTTTTATCTGAGCCACTCATAAAGTCAGTTAAACTGCCAGTTTTTTTGAGATCTTACGTCATTAGAGCCAATTCTGAGGGAAGTCAAGGAAAGAATACTGAAAGAGGGCCAAGAAAGATTCCTGAGAAAGGAATCAAAGAGCAACACACTAAACCCAAGGGACAGCACAGACTTCCCATACGAATTCACACAGGTGTGTTACCTTGCTGGACTCTTCCAACTGTGTGCCTCGCTTCCAGGCCTCAGAGAAGGCGGAGCTCACGATGCTCTGGGAGCGGGCGTGGCCTGCCGGCTGCGTGTCAGACACACCACTATCAGACTGATTCGAGTGGTTCGACTGAGACTCTGTTTAAAATAGATTTTCAAAAACAGGATTAAATAAGTCAGTCTTCTGACGGTGTGAGTATGTACGTTTAGATAGATATCTTTTACAACAAAACCAGATGCTATGTAGAAACAGCAAAAAGTTAATTTTACTCATTTTTATCTTAAGGCTAAAAGGACACCTCAATTCTTTTTAAACAGTTCACCATGACAGACTGATAATTAGAATAAAAGGTTCATACTGGTATCCTGACAACCTATCTTGCAAGAAATCAGTTCCTAGCAAATACGAGAATGAATGAACCATCAACAAATGAGTGAATTTTTTTTCAACCTTGTTTTCATTACATTGAGAACCCATCTTCTTATATACCCCTGGCTCCAGGCCATCCCAGGTAGCTCTTACTTATGAATTCAGGTCTATACATGATGATTACTTCCTTTTCCCCAGCAATAAACAGTATGCAGAATTTGACTCTCACGTGAGAATTGTTTTTCCTAGGGATTCAGGTATTGGCTCTGCAAGGCAGCAGCCCCACTGTAGCCTGGCCCCCTCGCAAGGCACGGAAGCATCTTCAAGGGAGCTGGGAATGGCTGAGGATATAGTGCATCTTTGACTGACATCCAGGGTGAAGGAACTGGGAAGATTATTTCACTAGACTCCAAGTCTGATGAGAGAACCATGTGCAAGCACCTACCTCAATCTGGTGGCATCTGGTGGAGATGCAAATATTAAAGCCAGTCGCATCCAATCACTCTGGGATTACTAGACTGCAATATTTAGCAAGTCCAGCCAAGTTAGCCAGAGCAGTGCAGAGATAATAGCCATAAACTATTATGGATAATAGGTGGATAAAGATAAGACAATATCCTCAGGGCAAAATATTAGCAACATAGGATAAAACCTAGCCTGTTTTCTTCTTTTTTGATCATCCAGTAGCTGAATGCTTCATCCCTATTTAATTACTATCTAGGACAATAGCTTATAAGATAGGAGGCTGGAACACACAAATCCTTGAATTCTCTTCAGCATGAATGAATATGACTAATGTCTGCCTAATACTTTACACACTGTATACAGACAGATGATGCTGGAGTAGGAAAAGGCATTGTACCACATCATAAAATAATTCGTGGGAGCACTTGAATTGTTAAGTGCTATACACATTTTAAAAAATATCATGCGTCTTTTTTCTCAATCTTTCCCTTAATTTCTTTTTCTAAAATCCTACTTGCAACATGGTTACCTTGCCTTTCCTAATCTATTGTCTCAAAAGTTTCTTCCCATTTTAATAAATGTTTTATTTTAGAATAGTTTAAAATTCACAGAAAAGTTGCAAAGTTAGCACAGAGTTCCTGCACACCGAGCACCCAGTTGACCTCATTATTAGCATGTTACATTGTTACATTTGGTACATTTGTCACAACTAAGGAACTGACATCGATACGGTATTATTAACTATACTCCAAACTTTGTTTGGATTTCACTAGTTTTCCATAACATCCATTTTCTGATCCAGGATCCCACAGCACAGCTGGTTTTCATGTCTCCTGTGACAGTTTCTCAGACTTCCTTGTTTTTGATTTGTCTGATATTTTTCTCCTGGTTAGACTGAGGTTATGGGATTTGGGGAGGAAGATCAAGAGAGGGAAAATGCCAGTCTCATCACATTGTATCAAGGGTACACGCTATCAGTGTAACTTATTACGATGATCCTGACCTTGACCACTCGGCTGAGGTCTTATCTGTCAGGGGTCTCACTGTCAAGGTCCCCGTCCCCCGACCCCCTTGACCTTGCTGTTTGGAAGCCAGCCACTCTGCAGAGCTTACACTAAAGCGAGAGTTAAGCTCCACCTCCTGAAGGCAGGGTGTCTGCACAGATCACTGAGAAATCTTCTGTATGCAAAACTTGTCTCTTCCTCCCCATTTATTTATTCAATAATTTATTTTTATCAGTATGGACTGATGGCTATGTATTTTATAATTTGGGTTATAATCTTATATTATTTTGTTGCTCAAACTGTTCCAGCTTTGGTCACTGGAAACTCTCAGCTTGGCTGCTGTGTCCCTTTTCCATACTCTCATCCTTGTGTTTTTTGGAGCATTTCCTTCATTTCTGGCATTACAAGATACTCCAAGCTGATCTTCCAGATTCTCTGCCACAGCCATAGACTCAGCCATTTCCCCAAGAACCCTGGTTCCTTTTTTTTTTTTTCCGGAAAATGGTGTTAGAAACCAAGATGCAGGCACTCAGTCTTACTGCTCCTGGGGTCACTGCTCCTAGCCCCTCTCAGTGCACAGAACTAGGAAATATATGTATGTATGCTAACCCATGAAACACATTCTAAATTTGTTTTTCTTACTTATTTAGGGATGAAATCACATCATACAGCTTTTTAATCAAATACTTCTTAAAGCAATTATTCCTTTCATAACATACGATGTCAGAACAAAGAAAAAATTCTCCTTTTAGATGATGTAGATATCATATATGGAACATTTTGAAGGGAAAGAAGCATTTATCTTAAAATGTGATCACAGCATACTTGTTAGGATATGGAATCTGAAAATAAGCACCTTTTGAGTATGACTGATTTCCTACGAAAAGTTTAGAAAGTTTGATGACACAAACAGCTTCCTTAACTGATATTGAACTAATTCTAGTTATTTCCACTCTACTGAAATGTCAGGAAACATGTGGGGAAGGTGGGCAGTTTCATCATGGATTCTGAGTACAGAGAAACTTAAGCAACTTTCTATCCCCAATTATGCATCAACAGTTGCTTTTCAGTAGTATGAGTGAGTTTTAAATAAACTTTATAAATATATAATGAAACTCTTGGCTTTACAACTCTATAAAATGGTTTTCTATTTCAAATACATTTGTGAACTAGCCCATGATATTATCCCCTCTAACAACAACAATAAAAGCACATCTACCTATTGATTATAATTTAGAAATTAGGTATGGCTCTGGTTTTTAAAAATCATGCTGAGATAACCAGGTCTACTATCAGTTTCTCTCTCGAAAGCCATTCATGTGGGTAGTAAATAGTGCTTGGGCATTTCAAACTACCTGGGATGCTGGAGGAACTGGATCCTGATTTGATGCTGGAGCTGGATAAGGAAGTCCAATCATAAGCTGACTCTGTCCTCTTCACGGCATCCTGATAGTTCATGTAGAGCTGCTTCCCGTACTAAACAGAAGGCAGGAGAGGATGACATCTGAACTTTACTGGGTGTAACAGAGAGAGATGGGGGAGGAACAGGGGACACGGCTCTGTATACTGATTCATAATTTGTATTAAAATTCATACCTATAATACTTCAAAATTTCTTTTAACACGAGTTAAGTTATAATCTGCTCATATTTTTCCTCATTTTTAGAAAGGCAGCAAGAAGTTAACACTTGATTCTAATTATGTTCATTATCAATATAACGATTTTTTTTCAGTTACTCCTAAAGCAACTTTGATTTTATGGCTCTAATAAATTTTATTTTCCATTACTTAATAGGCATAAATATTCCTTCAAGCATTATATATAATCATCTTTAAGATGTCCTTAAAACAATTTTTTTAAGACTTTTTTTTAGAGCAGTTTTAGGTTCACAGCAAAACTGAGAGGAAGGTACAGAGATTTCTCCTATACTCCCAGCCCCTAAACATGCACAGCCTCCCCATTATCAACATCCTCCACTAAAGTGGTACATGTGTTACAATCGATGAGCCTACACTGACACATCATCATCACTCAAAGTCCACAGTCACCTTAGGTTCACTCTTGCTGCACATTCTATGGGTTGGGACAAATGTATAATGACATATATCCACCACTGTAGCAGCATGCAGACTATGAATGTTTTCACTGCCTTACAAATCCTCTGTGCTCCACCTATTCATCCCTTCCCTCATCCCAAGGCAACTGTAATTTTTTAAAAATTACTTTTGTTTAGGCTTAACTCTCCTATATAAGAATCATATAATGAGTTCTCCAAAGCCAAAATAAATCACTCTGATGCTATACAAGCTTTACCAGTGGTATTATTCCTTGGATATGAACTGTTAAAAGTTTATCCCCTTTACCAAGGAAAAAAGACATTTAAAAGATGAAACTTAGACCTGAGAAAACTAGACATTGGCAAATCATTAATATGAAACAATCAGAATAACTGTCACGACAATCAAAGCCATATCATAAACACGTCATTATCCCATCATCAAACCAAAAGAAAACCCACCTTTGCAATGCGGATGCCATTGACCCACTGGTGCAGGGTCCTCACATCATCACAACAAAGGTATTTGATGTACTGAGACTTCTTCTGGATCTGTGGGTGCTGCAACATTAAAGCAAAATCCAACTAAGTCCTCTGGAGAACTAAGAGAAATAGACAACTCTATGAAAGCTTCAACATATCCTGAGGAGTTACAGGCCATCAGAGTAATGACCAAATAATTTAAACCTCTTACATGGCCGTAAGCCCAAATAAAATGACCCATAAGTATTTTTACAAAATAAACTAAACAGAAATTTGTGTTAAATTTTAGGTCAAGATGTCCAAGTTAAAAAAAATCCTTCACATCATGGGAAATTCCCAAATACATCTTCTACATTTCCAAGAAACAAAAGTCCATCAAGGTTAAGCAAAGTCAGCAAAATTCTTTATCTATAAGACTATGAAAAGGGCAGAGAATGTCTGATTTTACTTCAGATCCACTGAAATCACGGGTTCAGAGGACTCCAAATGCCCGTCTCTGGTCAAGCTCCCAGTGCTTCTCTAGGTGAACAGTGGTGGGGTGGACGAAGTAGGCCCAGCACCTGGGACACGTGGGGCGCCCACACTGCGTAGTGGGGCTCCCTGCTGTGGGTGGAGACCACCCTGCAGGCCCCTCCACCACAGGAGGTGCCCTCCAGGGAAAGAGCAGCTTTTCAACCGCATCCTCAAACTGAGTTTTTACAAACCAGTTTACTCTTCAGTTGAGGCTTGGATGGGAGGTGACTGACTTGACATTGGCTCAAAATGCAAGTGCTAGAACAGACTTAAGGTATTTTAATTCCACTGGGCCACAACCAGTAGGTCCCTGGGAAGAAAAACTCGAAATCACACTTGGTTCTGGACTTAATGATTGTTAATTACTACTTCTCTTTTCAGTTATTCTGAAAAATAAACAAATAACAATATTTTACTTGGAGAAATATTTAAGTTTATGTTCAATGATAAGAAAGAGGCTTTGAAAATTCTCTAACCACATTGGTTTGTTGTGGAAACCCATGAGATCAATTAAATAAGAAATCTGAATAAGTCCTCCATGCAGCAGAAATAGACAGCCACCAGTGCAAGTTATGCCTCTGCATTGTTAAAGGCTCTGGGCTACAGTGAGAGAAATGCAAATCCATTTATTCTATTCTATTCTATTCTCTGCTTACAAAGCTCCTATGATAAAGCATTTAATACCAATCCCAATTTAATTATTGAAGGTGATAGTCAAAGTTTTAAACATTAAACCCTCAAGAATAAGAGGTTAGCAAAACAATACCTAAGAGTTTTTTCTCCTGACAAGACAGGCTCCACAACCTTCTCGTGGAATACGTTCCCTTGTCCTTATTAAGTCACGTTATAATAAACCACCACTGCAATCTTGAAAGAACAAAGGAGGACAGGTGGAGGATGTATTTTTCTATAAAAGGAAGAATTCTATCTCATTCATTCACTTAACAAATATTTATTGAGCAAGAACTGTTTGCCAGATGCTTCCAGTAGGTGCTGGGATACAATGTGAGCAAGAGGCCACAGTTCATGCAGAAGACAAAATGGGCTGACTGAACAGCTTTCTCAGTGTTGCCAGCTCGGGCTTGAAGAGCTGTTCTCCATCTCCTGCTTCACTGAGGCCCTGCCTACAGAGCAGGTTCAGACTCCTGGACAAGGGGTGACAGGCTGGCACTCAGCCATCATCACCATGCCCTCCCTCTGTGGGGATTTATAAACCATTCTTGACTGACTCCTTCCATTTCCCCAGAGCAGAGCTACCACACCTGGGTATTCCACCGCAGCAGTGGTCCTGCCTGACAGTGAGTGTGTGTTCTATTCATTCTCCACACAAAGGAAGTGTTTTTATCAACACAACGTCAGAGAAAACCAAAAGGAAACAATCCTCTGTCCTTTTCTCCTCATCTCTCTGAGCTTGGAACCCAAATAATACCCTGAAGAGTACTACGATACAATCAGTTGAGTATCTGCAGATTACTTGCTAGTTTAAAATTCATTTTAGGACCTCAAAAATTCCTTTGCCCCCTCCCACTTAAGACATTACTTCTGTAGCCTTCACGATGGTCATCCAGGCAACGACACCTCAGGAGGCTGCCTGTTCCCATAATAGTTATTTATTAAAGGTAGCACTTACTGCGCACTTGTTATGTACCGGGCATTATGCTCAATATTTCAGGGATATTAGCTCATTCCACACTCACGAAAACCCTACAAGTTCCATAGTATCATCTCCACCATCCGAGAAGAACTGGAGGCACAGGGGGTGAAGACAGCACTCAAGGCTGCTCGCCAGTCAGGGAAGAACTGGGATCTGAAGCCAGGGGCTCTCATCCCAGGGCCAGGCTCTTAACTACTCTGTCACACTGCTGCCTTGTTCCAAATTTGCTGCCTCTATCCTCTTTCCCCCCAGTGTTATTCCACCACTTTTAAAGTCCCACAAGAGCTGAGCGCAAGTGTAGAGGAGACAGCTGTTGCCAAAAACCAGAAGCTCAACATTTAGATTCTTAAAGACTCCAGAGAACACATATTGAACAAATGAACAGCTATTAAGAAAGAAAGGTCATCATTTCACTTTTAAAATGCTGTTGATGTGGAAGGTTTGCATTCTCTGATAAAAGGGGAAAGAGCTGAGAATTAGATAAAAACATCTAAGAATAAGAAACTCTAGATTACTCTTGTGCGATCAGATGATTTTTCTGTTTATGCCAAAAATTGGATCGAGACAGGTATTTCTAAAACTCTGTAACTACAAGTGATGCTCTAACATCCCAGTCCAAGTGCCAAAGGGAAATCACTGAATGTAAACTACCCATTTATTACTTTAGAGACAAATATGGGCTTAAAATTAATCCTCCCAACTGACATGTAAGATGGTAAAAAATAATACTATATAACACCCCTATCACTTCCTCATTATCATACAGGACACTTCTCTATTAATAGCAGTTTTTGACAAGTTCATGTAAATATTCCACCCCTAAACCCTAACCACTTTTTCCTTCTTACCTAACAAACTGAAATAAATTACATCGCCTCACTTCTTTAGGAATGAAAATTTAGATCTGGGTAAGCTGAGCTCTCTTCCAACAATTATTGTGGTATATATTTTTTAAAAACACAGGTTTCCTTTAAGAAACTTAATTATACATGCATACGTGTGTCCCAATAAGCGTGTACCTCTTTCAGATAATATATCAACAAATGCCCTATTTATTCCTATACTGTCAAATTTCATGAATAAGCTCTTCCCATCATTATTTTTATTATTACCTTTTAAAAAAACTAACTACTAAATGATGTGTTTTTATTACTTCCTACAAGTGTGTATCTATTTCCTGTATCCTGCATTTCACTGTAAGGACTCAGACTCAGTCATTACAGCCTGAAGATAACAAAAGGGATCAGACCCTATAAATGTTTACATTTGCATTTGTGTAGATCCTGTGTGGCAGTATTTTTTGGTTTCACTTGTTTGTCAGAACACATATACTCAAAAATAAAGATACTTAAATAGGCAAAATCTAGTACGACTTTACAAGAAAAAAGATATGTCTTAAATACTAATAGTTGAGTGGTCTTGGGCAAACTGATCTCTCTAAACCTCGGTTTCCATATCTGGAAAACATGGACCTAAAACAGACTGTGAGATTGATGGGTACAGAACTCCCAGTGCAGCACCTGCCACCCTTAGTTCTTTAATCAATGGTGACTGTTATTTTTACTGTTATTTGCACCTAGTGGTATGGTGGGGATTTTTAAAATTTCAATATATTGAATATTTCAGGATATAAATAGATCAGCAATATAAACATATGAATTTAGCTTAACCTATTAAACTAAAAACAAAGTACACAAATCATTCTTATAAAACAAACAAAAAACCCCTTAGAACAAAAAAAATTTTTTTTTTCGAGGAAGATTAGCCCTGAGCTAACATCTACTGTCAATCCTCCTCTTTTTGCTGAGGAAGACTGGCCCTTAGCTAAGATCTGTGCCCATCTTCTTCTACTTTATATGTGGGACGCCTAACACAGCATGGCTTGCCAAGCGGTGTCATGTCCGCACCCGGGATCCGAACCAGCGAACCCCAGGCCACCGAAGCGTAACATGGGCACTTAACCGCTGCACTACTGGGCCGGCCTGAGAACAAAAATATTCTTAATCTAGGAATTCTGTGAGTTGCAAAAGGGATTAAAATAACTGTCAGTGATCATAATTAATTTTAGCTGTAACAGGCATGCTTGGATGCCTTCCCCACAGCTAGAGCCTCCTTCTCCCCTCTTTTATGACAGAACCCCACTTTTGTTTGGAAGGCCACTCCTCAGCTCAGAGTGTGAATTCTGGCTAGTCGAAGCCCCAAACCATGGCTTTGTTCTTTGCCGTGACTGGGTTAAGAGCCGGCATGTACTGCGGCCAGTGACCCTCAGGGGAGGGCTGTGGGTAGCTCCTGAGAAATATTCCCTTCCTCTTAAAAAAGACAAACGAAGGGAGAAATAGTCTGTCTTCTGCTAGATTCTGCTGGGTGTCCATGTGATCCTAGAGCTGCAGTGGCCATCTGTGACTGTGAGGTGAGCCGGCCTGAACATTCTCTGAGCTGATATGCAGCAGATGGAAGAGAGAAAGAGGGAAAGAATTTGGGTTCTCACCAACAACCTTGTGGCATTGAAATAACTAACTCTTATTGTCTTCACGTTATGAAACCCCCAAATAACTTTCATTTATATGAGTTATGTCTATTGATATTTACCTTATAAGAAATGAAAACTAAGGAAAAACTTCCACTACTCAAGAGAGCAAAGATATCATCACATGTCATGTAACCTCTTAGGAAACTCCATTATACATTGGTGAGAAAATGAGAGTGTAAAAGGCAAATAACATCTTAGCATTATTAGAAGAGTACTTCTGACATCACAGACCCCTTGACAAGGTCTCAGGGACTCACAGGGAACCTTGGACCTCATTTTGAAAACTGCTGGATTAAGCTACTTTGTATCAACTTTTAAAAAAATTATTTGCTGCTGTAACCTAAATGATACAGAGGTATTCTTCAAGAAAGGGTTATTTAATAAAGGGTTACCATTACAATACACCTAATTTTATCAAAGCAATCAAAACTCTTCCCCAAAACGCTAAACCACCACCACCCCCCAACCCAACTGACACTTCTCAGAGAAAAGCAAAATTAAATGATGATTATTAAGACCTAAGTAGTTACGAAGGGGTTACTAAGAAGGAGCCAATGAAAAAAACTTAATCATCCATAATTATCCTGAATTTTTTAATGCTGTCTTGATAAAGTGTGTCTTGATAAAGACAACATTAAAAAATTCAGGGTAATTATGGATGATTACTAAAAATTCACTAAAAAATATCAGTTCTCAAAAGTACAGACATAATCAGTGTGAAAAGCTCAAAAGTTTGGATAAAGGAGGAAAAAACTCACTAAAAATAGCTCAGACAGGTCATAATACACAAGTGGGCTATCAGGGCTACAGTTTGGGGGCAAAAGAGAGACAAAAATTATTTCTGGACCAGATGAGAGCCAGTCCACTTTGAACTTGGGCACAGTGCCCTCTGATGGTTCTGCTGAGTAAGTATAGAAACACACAGAATACCTATGTCTCATTTTTGGCTCTGAACTAAATTTTCCTAAAATAAGCCTGCTATTAAATGAAAGTCTCAAATTTATAATCTAATCTATTTTATATACTATGACACAAAGCTTACAATCCAGTATCTGTATCTTAGTAGCATCAATCTAATGAAAGCCACTGAGCTAAGGTCAGTTGTGGTAGAACACAAGCTTCTTTTCCTCACCATTCTCAGTATTCCTTTAAAAGCCCACAGAAAAGAGCAAAAATCATATACTCGATGGAGAGCGAGACTATTCTAAAATGTCCAATAACCCGCTCTATGCCTAACATCAATTAACATTCCTAAGAAAGAGAAAAGTTTACCTTCAGCACTAGGCAATAGTCTGTAGGAGCTTTGTACTTGTTCCGATAGTCTTGTCCATAGTAAACATTGACATGGTCCAGCTGGAGAAAGCACACCAGATCCCGAGACACCTAAGAGAAAAGCACCCAAAAGGCTCAATTAACAGTCGGGCACAAACAAGCAAATATCATCCCTGGTAACAGTTTCTAGATGAGAATCAAAACTTTACCAAGTAGAAATTACTGCTATTTTGTAGAAGACAAGACAGAGACATTCTCTACAAATGTTTCTTCTTTAATTCATGATGCAACAAAAAAGGCAGTCCATTTCACTTACTGTCTTGCCTTTCACAATGAATAGTGACTTGATGGAGAGGGTGGCATTTTAAAGGGACTTTAAATATAGTATAGTATATTAAAGAAAACATAGTATAAGAGAGCTCTCTGGAAGGAACCAGAAAGTGTCCGAGTTCAGGGCCTGCAATGCATACCTCAAGTACAGTGATTCTCAGGTCAGGGCTTCCTCACCAGTTAAACAGGGGCAACAATCCATACCTCTCAGGATGGTGGTAAAGACAGGATGAGATGATACTGTAAAGAGCTTACAACAGTGCTGGCCCCAGTAAGCAGAGAAGTGACAGCTACCAAGGGGCTCTCAGCAGAAACACAGTATTCAACAAGGCTGAAACACCTACAAGCCCAGAAACCTATTCTCCCCAAACAACAAGAAGTCAAAACTGCTCTGGCAGAAGTTCCAAACATATTAAGTAAAAGTATGATTTCAAATTTAGCAAGAGAATCAAGATGGCCCCCCAATGACGAGAGAGTGGACATTTTCAGGTTTCCTCTTCATTATAATGGATCAATAAACAGAGCAATATTCTGCGTGTCCCACCCACGCTGAAACCTGGATTGACCCTGTCAGCACACTCACAACGAACTGAAATCAATAAGCACAACGAGGAAGCCCAGACACCAGCAGGAGGGACACACCTTTGCTTTCCCTTTTGGGACATAGTAGATCCCAGACGCTCGCAGGAGAAAATAGCGCTTCTTCCAGGACTTCTTGCCATCATCCTTCAACCACAGGACGCCTTCGATTTCTGGTACAGTTACAGAACTTCCACAGAAACATTCCTAAAGTAAGAAGATGATTTGGAAAGACATACAGTTCTTGGATTCTCAGAACAAAGTTGTGTTTACCCCTGTGAAATGCATGACGCTGTAATTAAGCCCAAATGGCTCTGTATTAAAACCATGCTGCTAATTTCACCACAATTAGAACTTTCTATTCTAAACATAATATGGATTTATTTCAGAACTACTCTGGCAATCCCTACGAATTTTTGCCTAACACTGTTTTGAAGAAACTAAGGTGAAATGTCAGCTGAGTTGCATATGACGGTACCTAAATGCACTTGTAAACAGCACAGTCATACTAAGTTTAGTAAAAGTCTCAAAGCTAACATAAGCAGTAGACTTGATTTTTCTCCAAATTAACACCACATTTAGATTAGCTGTCAAGCTGAACAGAAATATACTGTAAAAGAAAGCAACATGCTAAGTGAATGATTAAACTTTCACAATTTAAAAACTATCAATTTATATGATTCTAAAAGAAAGAGGACATTTACTTTTTAAATATTTAATACTAGGCTAAAAAAATGTAAGCAAATTCAAAATTTTGAATTCTAGTCTATACTTAGGTAAAATTTAATTTAAAAAATCAATCACGCATTTGGAAAAAGAAAAATAGAAATCCTCACTAAACATTACCATAGGACATTTTGAGCCTAAATTAATTTCTCTCTCCCCAAAGTACAGATAAATTAGGACTCATAAAGAGGATTTTTCTTAATTGTAGCTAGTATCACTTATGAAAAATTGAATGCTGATCTTCATTTTCATGAACACGTTGAAACACTATATAAATCTATATAAGTCTCTGCCATGAACATATTGAAACACTATATAAATCTCTTAGTATATATATCTGAATATATATGAACTTACTCAGTATACACTCCTATAGCATTAGCCCTTGGGATAATCTTGGAGTAGGTTTCAATGAACCTGATTTACTTTGAAAATCACAGGAATAAGAAATTGTAGTGTTGGAGTTTCAAATAAAATAAGCATGAAAATTACTTATATTTGAAATACAGATTTTAGAAAAACAACATTCAATTTGAGTATTGAATGTCAATACTCAACTCTTACTTAGCAAATAAGAGTTTATTTAGGTTTTCAAACATACTAACTTCTTTGATCTTAGTTTTCTAAAATCAGCAAAAGCCAAAAAGCCAAAAATTCAATCACGTTTGAATCGTTTTATTACTCTTCAAAATAAGAAGGCGTACATATTTTTTAAAAATAGTCATTATGACTTTTAAATTATTTGAATTATTTAAGACTAAGGCTTGAAATATTTGGTAAACAGCTAACTATACTCAAATTTCTCTCGGAGCAAGCAGATAAAACAGCAGTCCCATCCTTCATTGAGCAGCCTTTTCTCCCACTAGTCAGCCCCTAAAAGCTCGTGACTCCACTAGTGTATTGGTTGGCAAAATAGTAGTTTTTAAAAGGTTCTTCAGTGGCCTAATGTTCACACAGCTGAACTCTCGTCAGGTTATGGAAGAATATAGGCTTCTCTATTTACAACTGGTATTATAAATATACAGCATTAACATATTTGACTTAATATTTAATATTATAATGTGCAGCAAAAAAGGGGGAGGAGGGAGTGAAGAGTCATACCTCCAAAAGCACTTCTTTGTTTCTATCTGCCATCTCAGCTGTTTCCTTTTTCCCGAGAAGATAATTCTGGAAAAATGAATGAAAGTTGAAGGATAGATTCACTCTATAATTCCCTTGGCACAAGTACATAAACAATTTCTTCTAGAGGCACAGCAACTCTGTGTCAATTTCTGCCTGTGTAGAGAGAGAGGAGCCCTCCTTTGAAAAGCAATCTGTGCATGGGCATCTCACTAAGAAGCCTAACACCGGCCACCTCCCTCACTCATCCGTTAACCTTGAATTATTCCAAAAACTGCCCTCCTCCAAATCCTGAGGTGGCAGCACATACAACAGCTGGCAAGCAGGTTGTGGTATACCTAATGGAAGCTACACTTACAGGACTTGAAAGGTTTACAAATTATTAACGATGAGTAAGGCAAATTTCCTTAAAATATGCTAAGCTTACCTGATCCAGATGCAGAAAATTCTGTCTACATTCTGGCTTTTAAAGAAGAAATCCAAAATTCTCTGAGACTATAATGATTTCATTTGCTTGATTCAACTAAAATCTTATTTCTAATTATTAGCCTTATGAAAAATTTTTCCACAATCACCCATTAAAAGATCTGTTGGTAAGTGCATTCTTCACTAAAAATATCCAGTAAAGATGTGTTATGATTAAGCTGTCTGAAGGATAACTATTCAACAACTTTAATACTGCTACTGTTTTTTCTCATTACTACTTTTTATAGTGGGGTTGATTCCTCTCACCTACTAATTTTTATAAAATATTTGGGTATTAGGAAGTATCAACTGAAACATTATTTTGGAATAAGCAAAGATGCCAAATAAATCAAGTAACATATATTAGAATGTGAAACCATTTATAATCAAGGTTACTGAGATTTTTTCAAAAAATAATTTAACAAAGAAATAAAAATAAGGGTTAACTGGATGAATGGCTGAAGTAGAGAAACTTAAATATGTAAGTACTTTTCCCATGGATGAGAAACTCACCAAATAAATAGCTAGGTTCAACAGAGCTCTGGATCACAGGGAGCAGAACCCTGGTGACTCCCTGGAGTCACTTCTGCTTCCCCAAGGGCTCACCCCAGCTGGCTCTGTGGGAATGGTGACCTCTTGGAGGCCTGACACCTTGGTCCCAGCAGACTTTCTACCTCAGCAGTAGTGAATGTTCCCATGGGGTTTTGCAGTCACAATGCTCCAACCAGGTGGTTGCCAGTTTTTTAACTCTATTCACTTAGCAGTATTAGAATAATGTTAAGATGAACATTTAAAAATCCTGACCTCTATAAGTTATTCAGTCTCACCTGTGGGTTTTTGAAAAGTGCATATTTTTCTATACGCTCCATAAATATAAGCTTGTTTTGGCTATCTCTCGTCCAATTAAGAAGATTTTCAACCAAGTTTTCATGGTCTTCAAAAATTCTCTCTGTCTCAAAATAAAATATCAACATCTCATCAGTATACATCAGAACTACATCCAAGACACGAAACCTTGTCAAGTAATTCACAGCAGAACCATAGAATCTTAACCAACAGTGCAGTCCTTGACCCTTAGAGACTATCTGGTCTTCCCTCGATTTTCAAACAAGGAAACATGCCCTAGTGGTGTTAAGTGACTTCAGCAAGGTCACACAGCTGCTGCACGGAAGAACTAGGACTACAATGTAGATCTTCTGATTTATAGGTCTTCTTCAGCCTTCACCCTTTTCCCATCCCACCCTTAAAAAACCCAACATGTTAGTTGCATTTCATAAATTCTGATATTAAAGTATTTCCAGTAGTATTCAACTCTTGTAATTTTTAAAATTTCCAAGATGATTTCTTCTTTGATTCATGAGTTTTGTCTAATTATAAACATAGATATATTTTCTAATTTCCAAATTAGGAATCAAAGAACATATCCTATATACTGAACATATGTTCAAAGAACATAGTCTAGATAACGATTTTTTGAAATTTCATAAGAGTTGCTTATAGCCTCATAATTGAATCACTTTTTGGAAATATTCATTTCTGCCTGAAAAGAATGTATATTTTCCCATTATTAGTGTTCTAAATACATCTATTAGATCAAACAAATTATTTTTCAAATCTCCTGTATCCTTTTTGTCTGCTTGATTATATTGATCACTGAGAAGGTTCTTAGGTGAAAAGGTTCTACTCTGAAGGTTGACTTGTGAATTTCTCCTGGTAGTTCTGTCAACTTTTCTTTATACATTTTAATGCTATTATTAAATAAAATTTAGAATGATTGTATCTTCCTGGTGAAGATGTTGGTTCTCTTTATCTCTAGTAATGCATTCTGCTTAAAATCTATTTTGTCTGGTACTAACAAAGTTATCTTTCTTTTGATTAGTGTCTCTTTACATTCCTTTACTTTCAGCCTCTCTGTGTCTTTAGGTAATGGGTCTTTTATTATTAGCAAATGGCTGAATTTTGTTTATTCATCCTTTCTAACAGTCTTTGCTGTCTACGTGAATAATTTACATTTATCATAACGTACTTCCACCATCTTGTTTTGGGTTCTTAGTCCCTTCTTTTCTTTTATTCATTCAACAAGTACTGAATGACCACATATTATCTTTGAAGCACTCTGCCATGTATGATTAAATAATAGTTACTTAACACACTACAGTGAGTTATATAAAAGGTCATGGAGAAATAGTACACATATGGGTCTTTAACCAATGGCCATGGAAATATTCCAAAAACTCACATCCAAACATCTTCTGTGTATTATGATGCTACATCTATGAACTCAAACCTTCCTAATTCTCTAAGAATAGTTATAAATGAGTATTGTAAGAAAACATTTTTATACATGTTAGTAAACTTCTAATAACTTATGGTTTACTTTCGGGGGTTGTATATGTGTGTTCTAAGAGAAAGGGGTTAGTAAACCTTTATTTCTCTGGAAACTGCTATGAAATACTTTAAGATATAATAGGTAGCAAGAGTAATGCAAATACATTTTTTAAATAAAACTGCAAGTTAAAATTGATTACTAACTCCATAAAGCCTAATAAAATAATTATTGCAAGGTTTCCGTAATCACCTAATATTACAAAAAGAAAACATTTTAAAGGAGTCAATAGGAGTCGGCCCTGTGGCTGAGTGGTTAAGTTTGTGGGCTCCGCTTCAGCGGCCCAGGGTTTTGCGGGTTCAGATCCTAGGCATGGACATGGCACCGCTCATCAGGCCATGTTGAGGCGGCATCCCACATGCCACAACTAGAAGGACCCACAACTAAAAGTATACAACTATCTTCTGGGGGGGATTTGGGGAGAAAAAGAAAAAAAAAAAAAAAAAAACTGGCAAGTTGTTAGCTCAGGTGCTAATCTTTAAAAAAAAAAAAAAAGGAGTCAATAATGGTACAAAGAATGAGGAATTTTTAAAATTAGAAAATAGCATACCAAACCACGAATCACAAAAGAAGACTTAGCACATCTAGTTAAAAACAAGAAAGATGTGCTTTCTGTTTCCCCTGAAATCAAACACTGGTGTAAAGACTTCAGTACAAGTGTGAATAAATATAAGAGTCTTTAGTAAATGTCTTGATCTATGTAGTTCTTATTTGAAGGCAAAACGTATTTTGTCACTTAAAAAAAAATACAACTTTGTTCTAGCCATAAGAAAATCTGAAGTGAACTGGAAATGATCTTGTATTCAAAGAAATCTCAAAATAATTGAAAAAAAATAAAGTAAAAAAGCCAAGGTTATATTATAGGAAAAAAACATATAAAGAAGTCTCAAGGTGCTTTTATCAACATGAAAACTGTTGGAATTATATAGAAATTAAAACATAATTAAAGCAAGGATATTACTAACCCATTTGTAACTCAGAGATGGTTTCCACCAGCGACCAGTCTGAACTATACCCGCAGTGGGATTTGTCCATCAGGTTATCCAGGACTTGTCTCACTGTCTGCCTCTCATCCACCATCATTGTCTTAGAACTATCGTCAGACATGTGGACTCTAATCACCAGCTGTGACAGGGAGAAAGGCAATTAAATACAAATCAAAAAACAGGCATTCTAGAAATTTCTTCCAATATCGAGTAATGTTCTGAGTAACGTCCTTAGTTAAATATTAATTAAAACACAAATAATGGCTTTATTATGCAAGAAAGATATTCTAAAATTAGGTATCAAATAACGTACCCCCAAAAATTTAAAGCATTTTAAAATTAGAATAAGAGGTAAGATTATAATAAGAAGACTATTTTGTTTTGCTCTTTTAGGAGAATTTTAAACCAGAAAGTTATTTCTTTTATAATGCATTTTACCTACAAAAAATACATGCAAAAAATATATTAAGAAGAAATACTCCTCTACCTCTCCATGTATCTTAGAGGTATGTTATACAAACAAGGCCACTTTTCATAAATCCGTAAAACTGATAAAAATCCCAAACCAGGAAAAAGCCCAAATATCACCTTTTTCACTTGTGCCTCTTTAATCTTCTCTAGGGCAACTCTGATCTTCTCAGCTTTCAATTTTGCAGCCTGTTCTTCCTGTGAACACAAAGCACTTCAGATAAACCAATGCTAAAATAATGAGAATTTTTTAGAAGTCTTTTTATCCTTAAGGATGTTGCTAGGATTGAATTTTAGTAAGAATATAACTTCACCCGCTTACATAGACCACATTTTAAAAATAACCCTGTTCATAAAGCAAGAGCATTTTTAAGATGCAGACTTGAAGATCTCTTATAATAAGACTAGGTTCCATATTCTAGACAAAAAGAAATCTGTGCTACAGGAAATTAAGGAGCGTGATCCGTCAATCTGAAGCAGCTGAATTTCAGCTTCTGGGGTTGGAGATACATGAATGTCTAATGGGCTGTCTGTGGGCCTGCCAGTTTGTCACACACTCACAATCCCTCGACTCTGAATTTATACCCCCTCCAAAGTATGGGCAATTTTTTGCATCCTAACGTTTTGTTCTGTTACACTGAAAATGTATCATCCATTATAGAAATAGCAAAAAACAGTATCAGTTTATTTCTTTGCAACCATATAAAAATCCTTAATAAAAACGGTAGGTATGTTCTCATTAGTGTACCAACACAAAAAGAGGAGGCTGCATTATATTCTAGGTTTTACTCTACTTTGGAAAATCACACAATTTAATCAATATCTCATGTCAGTAAACTCAAATTTGTTTCTATTAATTCATTGATAAAATTTTTTAAATGCCAAAATTTCCAAATATTTAATTTCTAGTAACTTCTACTTTAGAAAATTTTGATTATAAGTAGCAGTAAAATTATCAAGAACTAAAAGATACTTAAACTATTTATCTATTTTTTCCTAAAATAACATACAGTACTCTAATACAGGTACTTACTTGTACTTTCCAGCAATAGGCCATGGTACACTGTAGCATTACTCTCCAGTTGAAAAAACTCATGTATGTAAACCTTTGCTTATAAAGGATTACTTTCTAATTCTAAGCTTTTGATTACTCTAGAAAATATCTCAGGAAAATATAAAATGCCATCTTATATATTCCTTTATTTAAGACTTAAAAAAAACAAAGCAAAAGAAAAACCCAATTATATCAGCCAAACTTTAAATTTGCTCTGGATTGTGATTAAATAAGCCATGTGTTTGCTATTTTTCATTAAAAAGCTAAAGCTTCCAGAGCAAAAAGCAAAAACAAAACTCAATTCATTTAATAGATTTATTCCTTGTTCTCCTAAATTCTGTTGGCTTTCTTATTTCTGAACTGCTTCTCTTTCCATTTCATACTCTAGGCTGTCTCCCCTCATTTCAAGCTTAGTATTTACTACTCTGTGGAACAGAGAAGAAAACAAGTAGGAAGACAGTGGGCTTGTTTGCCAGAAATCTGATCCTAGTCAATGAAGGGAGCCAGTGAATTAACATAATAACCAAGGTCTGGAAATACTATCTGTAAACCCAATTAGAGAACAAAGAACTTTATTTTAACAATGGAGAGGGGTAAGATAAGACTTGATTCTTAGACTATCATAGATATATTCCTTTGATTAAAAGACTAAATCATCCCATCTCCCCTTTATGCAAATAAAGAAGAGAATTATAAAATATGTTGACTGTATATTTTAACATAAGATAAAACTTTTTTCTTTTTAAACCAGGCTATAAAATGAGAAAACTACTGTCATTAAAATTTTCAGTTTCTAGAATTCTGTATCTTAGAGAAACAAAAGCATTATTAGTCAAAATACCAATTATATGTGATTCTGATGAGTAGAGTACTACTCTATAAAGGAATTTTAAATGTACCAGCATTTTCCCGTGGTTTTTATGAAATCAGTTATTTGGCAGTTTTTTTGGAAGAGAAAGAGGAAAGCAGAGGTTTCATGAGTGTTTTCTCAATGGAATAACAACTTTATGTTCCTCATGGCTTATTTGCCACATCCTTATGGTATGAATGGCTGTTATGGAGAAGAAAATTTTGCCAAGGTATATTTTAACAATTCACTTCATGTTCCTGAAAAGCAAATTTAAATCTCAAAGTCTGATGAAAAAAACCTGCTACATAGAACTAATGCTTTGTGTATTTGAAATATAAACAAGACCAAATTCTTTAATGATATTATAACTAATCTGCAGAAGTAAAAACAAACAAAAGTTTAGAATATGTTCTCAAAGCCAAAAAGCATTTTTAAGCAAAAGAGAATATTCATGAGAATGAGAAGATAAGCCATAGACTAGGAAAAAATATTTGCAAAATATTTATCAGAAATATCTGATAAAGGACCACTATCCAAACTATACAAAAAACTCTTTTTTTCTTTTGAGGAAGATTAGCCCTGAGCTAACTGCTGCCAATCCTCCTCTTTTTGCTGAGGAAGGTTGGCCCTGAGCTAACATCCGTGCCCATCCTCCTCTACTTTATATGTGGGATGCCTACCACAGCATGGCTTGCCACACGGTGCCATGTCTGCACCTGGGATCCAAATCAGCCAACCCCAGGCTGGTGAAGTGGAACATGTGCACTTAACCACTGCGCCACCGGGCTAGCCCCTACAGAACTCTTAAAACAACAAGAAAATGAACAATCTAATTAGAAAATGGGCAAAAGACCTGAACAGACAACTCACCAAAGAAGATATACTGATGGCAAACAACCCTATAAAAAGATGCTTAATAGCATATGTCATTAGGGAATTGCAAATTAAAACAACAATGAGATACCACTCACACCTATTAGAATGGCCAAAATCTAAAACACTGAAACACCAAATGCTCATAAAGTTCTGGAGTAACAAAAACTCTTATTCATTGCTGATGGGAATGCAAAATGATACAGCAACTTTGGAAGACAGTTTGGTGGTTTCTTATAAAACTAAACATGCTCTTACAATACACTCCAGCAATCACGCTCCTTAACATCTACACAAATGAGTGGAAAACTTATCTCCACCAAAAGAACCTGCACATAGACATATACAGCAACTACTTATAATTGCCAAAACTTGGAAGCAACCAAGATAGCCTTCAGCAGGTGAACAGATAAACTGTACTACATCCAGACAACGGAATATTATTCACTGCTAAAAAGAAATGAGCTATCAAGCCGTGAAAAGTCATGGAGGAAACTTAAAAGCATATTGCTAAGTGAAAGAAGCCAATCTGAAAAGGCTACATACTGTATGAGTCTAACTACATGACATTCTGAAAAAGGCAAAACTATGGAGGCAGTAAAGAGATTAGTGGTTGCCAGGGCTTGGGAAGAAGGAGGGATGAATAGGTGGAGCACACAGGATTTTTGGGAGAGCGAAACTATTCTATATGATACTATCAGCGCAGATATACGTCATCATCCATTTGTCCAAACTCACAGAATATACAACACCAAGAGTGAACCCTAATGTAAACTCTGGACTCTGAGCGATAATGATGTGTCAGTGTAGGTTTATCAGTTGTAAGAAATGTCCCACACTGGTGGGGGATGTTGATAATGCAGAGGCTATGCATGGGATGTATGGGAAATCTCTGTACCTTCCTCTCAATTTTACTGTGAACCTAAAACTGCTCTAAAAAATAAAGCTTATTCAAAAAAAGAATATAAGAAATTAAATATTATATTTTGATACTGGTTATAAATATGAAAACAGTATTTTCATACTCCCATTTTAGCATAATATTATTTGCCAAATACAACAGAATACAACCAGTGCTATCTTTTGAAGCACTGACATAAAAAGTGATTCAATTATAACATTAGACTCCCAATTCAGTTTCTGTTCCACATGCTAACTGGAAAAAAGCTGACACAGTAGAAGAAAGGATTAAAGAAACAAAGAGAGAAGTGCAACAAATTAACATACATTAAACCAATTAGATTTCTTAGCCATCAATAAGAAACCATTTTTATGTACAGCTAGCTATGGCTATTTCAACATCCAAATTCAGCTATTCTTCCATTTGCTGAAAATACTACACTTTAATAATAACTACATACATTTTTCTGTGTTAAAATTGTGTCAAATTCAAATTTAAGAGCTATGTGCTTAATTTCAACCTAGGCAAATCTTCATTTATTCTTTAGTTTATTAACAAGGATAATCCTTGCTAGAAGCTTTTTGAAGAAACTATTGATCAAGATACCTCTAACTTTTTTTAGAGGCTGAATATCATCACTGGAGTAAAACTGGAGATAAAAATAGTTATATAAAACTGCAAGACTCATAGTAGTTTATGTTTCCTGTGGATAATAAGCTCTTCCTTAGAAAGTTTAATTTTTATCTACTACATTTAAGCTATCATCATATCTTTTAACCATAACAACCTAGGAAAGGAAGAAATTGTTTCAAGCTCACAGAGCATTGTGCAAAACAGGAAAGATCAATAAATCTTTGTTGATGTGTTTAGATTAGATACTTAGAAGACATCTAATAGTTTATTTATGAAGGCAATGCAAATCTATGTTCAATGTCTGCAGCCCAAGTTTAATACAAAGAACAAAGCTTTATTCATCTCTTGTTCCCTTCTTGTGGTTAAAGCTGACAAACTCAGGTCTTCAGTCTTCTGCCCCTTAACTTCTGACTATCACTGTTTGTCCCACAACCATCCTAAACATAAGTAAAAGATACCTCACACATATAACAACTTAACTTTCTCTTCTACCCCTTCTCTTAAAACAGCAAGAGACAACCCATTTTCTACCTGAAAAAATCCTGTGTAGCTATCAATAACAATCAAATGCCAAGCCTCCTCAAATTTACATAAAGGACAAAAACTCTGTGAAGATCTTATGATTAAATGAAAGCCAACGCTGTGGTTACAAAGTGTTGGAGTATTCTCTTCACTGTAAAAATTAGCACACTTACAGAAAGAGTTACAGTTGCTAAGAGAAGGCTAGTGAATTCCTTCAACTAAGAAATTATTAAAGCTTTGTGGGTTCAGAACAAATCCAACTGAAATTAAGGGGCTAAAGAGCAGTTAGCAGTTTCTTTGGGATCTAGTTTACTTCACAGTTTACAACGATAAAAAAGTTATGTAAATTAAAATGATTCAAAGAA